CCACAGACAGGGACACCTGCAGATTTCTTGGGATAGTTGTCTTACTCAAGGGCACAAGGGCAAACCCCTCAACCAGCCAAGATCTTTAACCAGCCCCTTAAGGCTGTTAGGCCTAAATAGAGTGTTGAAAAAGATATTTGTTCCAAAGGTTCTAAACCTTGACTCACAGACAGTTTGGAAAGAGCTTCTGCAGACGATAAATAAGTAGAGTATTTGGTAAAATTAATGACATGCCTAAATAAATGTAATAGCTAACTACTTAAAAATGAAGTGTCAAATGGAAGAGAAAAATAATAAATAACCAGCTGTCAGAAGCAAGATGCAGCTAATCAAACTAGACATTTTAGAAGTAACGTGTTTACAGCCAGCCTTATCTTTTTTCCCAGAATTCACTGTACAAATGGCACCTTCCACAAGTTTTTTTTTTTTTGCTCTCTTCACTGAGGTAAAACATAAAACAACAAAGCTGATTTCCTGTAACTCAAACCTCTCATAGCAAACCAGAGTGAGAGGGAGAAAAACCTGCAGCAGCCAACACACGAGTCAGGTTCCACATTCAGACATGTTCTAATTGGGCTGTTCTCATGTGAAAGCTGTGAATGTATATTTGCACGAGTTAGAGCCACAGACAAAAATAAATGTCACAGACTTTGGAGATCAGTTTTTAGTGGGCCTTACCAGATTTTTAAATTTTCTGAAGAAAACCCCACCACCGCAATGCTATGGTATTCTGAATGTTCTTTAGCACAGCTCTTCACAACAATCGTCATGATTTGAGGCGTCATTCTTGTCTGTGGCATTCTTGTGCTAACAATAGTCCTATATATCTTCCACTATATGTCATAGAAATACATGTGGTTGTCTTCAAGGAAGTGGATCACATTAACCAAACTAGCTGGCAATGATATCCAAGATTACTCTTGACATGTTTGGTAATAACAAGCATATTTGGAGGTCAAAGTAACTTGTACAGAAAAAGTACCTCAACAAGCACAAATTTAAAACCAACAGTACTCAATTTCATAGTCGTCCTACCCAAACTGTACACTGGAACCAAGCAAAATCACTCTACAAAATCAAAGTCCATGCCCTCATCAACCTTTTCCCATAACTGAGGCTGAAACTGATTGATTTATCATCAATAGAGACACCCATCTTCCCAGAGTTGCCCACCCCAAGTCCATCAAGTAAACAGACCAGTAAGTCAAGGCCAGTAAAAATCACTAGCGTCTCCGCACCATCCGCTGTGAGGCAGAGCCGGATCTCAAGTACAGTGACTGTGGTTGGGCCAGACCGCTGCCACTTCCTCACATTGCATGGCTGCTTCTAACCACACCAGTATGTGTTCATTCTCTCCATGTCTTCAGGCTACCCAATCCAAGTAGCTGAAAGGTACAAGTTAAGAGTTTACACAGAAAATCCCAAAAGAGCTTGCTGTTTATCACGCAATGGAGAGGAGAGCAGTCAAGCGAGTATCCTTGGGTTTGATGCTAAGGATGAGTCAATATGCCTAGATTTTATGCAACAGAAGTGTAACACGCAAACAAACACTACTGTACTCTTAGCTTATGCTGGATATACACTACACAATTGTAATCCCAATTTTCACTTGCTGACAGTTTTATGGAGCTCACCAACAAAAGCCCAACATCTGAGGCAAATCGGTGCTCGTATATGTTAATGACAATCACATGGAGTGAATCAAAGACACGATCTGAGAGAAGCTCCGCGTCACAAATTCCATAGGAATATTTAGCAGGCTAAACATCTGGATGCTACGTCCAAAATTGAATATTTCTCTACAATACAGTATGTGAAAAACAATATGCCAAAAGAGCAGTATGTCCAAATTCACAGTATTCCAAAAACAGTAAGCAAAAAGTATACGAATGACCTACTACTTCAGCTGGGATTATGAAGTGTGCATTTGATGGACACTTTACTATCCCATGAGGCCACAGGAGAGGATTTATGAATGGCATTTACACGACACTGTTTTCAACTAAAAACTGAAAATGTTTTATGCATTTTGGCCATCCATTTACACAATTTTGGCATTTTGGGGGACTGAAAGAGCAAACTTTTGAAAATGGGTTTGAAAGTGCAAGTTTTTGAAAACTATACCGTTATTGTCTCCAATTGTGTAAACTACAGAAATGTGAATATGTGAAAACGGTGATGTCATGCACATGCATATTACTTTTTCAGTCTATAGGCATGTGCGCAGGCATGCGGTGTTTCAAAAGTAACGTGTTTACAGCCAGCCTTATCTTTTTTCCCAGAATTCACTGTACAAATGGCACCTTCCACAGTTTTTTTTTTTTTGCTCTCTTCACTGAGGTAAAACATAAAACAACAAAGCTGATTTCCTGTAACTCAAACCTCTCATAGCAAACCAGAGTGAGAGGGAGAAAAACCTGCAGCAGCCAACACACGAGTCAGGTTCCACATTCAGACATGTTCTAATTGGGCTGTTCTCATGTGAAAGCTGTGAATGTATATTTGCACGAGTTAGAGCCACAGACAAAAATAAATGTCACAGACTTTGGAGATCAGTTTTTAGTGGGCCTTACCAGATTTTTACATTTTCTGAAGAAAACCCCACCACCGCAATGCTATGGTATTCTGAATGTTCTTTAGCACAGCTCTTCACAACAATCGTCATGATTTGAGGCGTCATTCTTGTCTGTGGCATTCTTGTGCTAACAATAGTCCTATATATCTTCCACTATATGTCATAGAAATACATGTGGTTGTCTTCAAGGAAGTGGATCACATTAACCAAACTAGCTGGCAATGATATCCAAGATTACTCTTGACATGTTTGGTAATAACAAGCATATTTGGAGGTCAAAGTAACTTGTACAGAAAAAGTACCTCAACAAGCACAAATTTAAAACCAACAGTACTCAATTTCATAGTCGTCCTACCCAAACTGTACACTGGAACCAAGCAAAATTACTCTACAAAATCAAAGTCCATGCCCTCATCAACCTTTTCCCATAACTGAGGCTGAAACTGATTGATTTATCATCAATAGATCTTCCCAGAGTTGCCCACCCCAAGTCCATCAAGTAAACAGACCAGTAAGTCAAGGCCAGTAAAAATCACTAGCGTCTCCGCACCATCCGCTGTGAGGCAGAGCCGGATCTCAAGTACAGTGACTGTGGTTGGGCCAGACCGCTGCCACTTCCTCACATTGCATGGCTGCTTCTAACCACACCAGTATGTGTTCATTCTCTCCATGTCTTCAGGCTACCCAATCCAAGTAGCTGAAAGGTACAAGTTAAGAGTTTACACAGAAAATCCCAAAAGAGCTTGCTGTTTATCACGCAATGGAGAGGAGAGCAGTCAAGCGAGTATCCTTGGGTTTGATGCTAAGGATGAGTCAATATGCCTAGATTTTATGCAACAGAAGTGTAACACGCAAACAAACACTACTGTACTCTTAGCTTATGCTGGATATACACTACACAATTGTAAAGCAAAATCACTCTACAAAATCAAAGTCCATGCCCTCATCAACCTTTTCCCATAACTGAGGCTGAAACTGATTGATTTATCATCAATAGAGACACCCATCTTCCCAGAGTTGCCCACCCCAAGTCCATCAAGTAAACAGACCAGTAAGTCAAGGCCAGTAAAAATCACTAGCGTCTCCGCACCATCCGCTGTGAGGCAGAGCCGGATCTCAAGTACAGTGACTGTGGTTGGGCCAGACCGCTGCCACTTCCTCACATTGCATGGCTGCTTCTAACCACACCAGTATGTGTTCATTCTCTCCATGTCTTCAGGCTACCCAATCCAAGTAGCTGAAAGGTACAAGTTAAGAGTTTACACAGAAAATCCCAAAAGAGCTTGCTGTTTATCACGCAATGGAGAGGAGAGCAGTCAAGCGAGTATCCTTGGGTTTGATGCTAAGGATGAGTCAATATGCCTAGATTTTATGCAACAGAAGTGTAACACGCAAACAAACACTACTGTACTCTTAGCTTATGCTGGATATACACTACACAATTGTAATCCCAATTTTCACTTGCTGACAGTTTTATGGAGCTCACCAACAAAAGCCCAACATCTGAGGCAAATCGGTGCTCGTATATGTTAATGACAATCACATGGAGTGAATCAAAGACACGATCTGAGAGAAGCTCCGCGTCACAAATTCCATAGGAATATTTAGCAGGCTAAACATCTGGATGCTACGTCCAAAATTGAATATTTCTCTACAATACAGTATGTGAAAAACAATATGCCAAAAGAGCAGTATGTCCAAATTCACAGTATTCCAAAAACAGTAAGCAAAAAGTATACGAATGACCTACTACTTCAGCTGGGATTATGAAGTGTGCATTTGATGGACACTTTACTATCCCATGAGGCCACAGGAGAGGATTTATGAATGGCATTTACACGACACTGTTTTCAACTAAAAACTGAAAATGTTTTATGCATTTTGGCCATCCATTTACACAATTTTGGCATTTTGGGGGACTGAAAGAGCAAACTTTTGAAAATGGGTTTGAAAGTGCAAGTTTTTGAAAACTATACCGTTATTGTCTCCAATTGTGTAAACTACAGAAATGTGAATATGTGAAAACGGTGATGTCATGCACATGCATATTACTTTTTCAGTCTATAGGCATGTGCGCAGGCATGCGGTGTTTCAAAAACTTTTTTTGAGATCAATAATTGCACTATTATCATTTGTAGATCTGCTTTATCGCTAAATTGAATTTGTTTCATAATTGATGAACTTTGCAAAATTGACAGTTATTGAACTACACTGAATAAACATTGAACTAAAATGTTGAATAACGACATTGTCTTCTGTAGAGCTGCAGAAGGAACATTAACACTTCTATGGTTCTGTTTATTACTGTAAAGCTGCTATAAAATAATTTTTACTGTATAGTTAAACTCAAAGTTTATCAACAGATCAATCCCCTCACATAAGAGTGACAACAAACAGTGACAATAAAGAATGTCTGAGTTTATTTTACACTTGCCTTGATCACAAAACAAGTAAATAAATATAGCATTATGAGTTTACACATCAACAAATAAAAATAAAAAAATCAGCACACATGAAACAATGACAATAAACCAGGATTAGATAGAGTGCATTACTGTTAAAGGGTTGACAATGTACACAATTTACACAACAACAGTAAATTTATTACAGTTACAGTCGGGTGAAGATGCTAAGCCATGCAAAATGACGCTGGTTGCAGATCTTATGTTGACCTGAGGAAAAAAATAAAAACATTCAATAGAGCTCAACAGTCACATTATAGAAGTAAACCTAGCAATCAAAACTCTAAAAAAAAAGTGATACCATATAAATCTTCTGAGACAGACCTACTATGAGCTCAGATATTGTTAAACAATAGTATGTTCCTGTAAATATGATTTTAACTTGATCCGACATTTAGACACCGTCAGACATCACGTAAATCTAAACAGCGATGAGTGAAAGCTAGCTAGGTAATTATTACAGCTTGTATTATTACATTTTTAATAATACAAATGCTATATCTCTTTTTTATTTTTTGTGTTTTGGGGGATTTGTGGTAGTTTTTTGACCTATTTACTGCAAAATTACTCAACTTCACTATTAGTTTGCACATTAAATACACTGCAATGATGATCTAAATTAATATGAGTTGTTTCTGGATATTGAAAGTGTTAGGGGCAGAATACTGCCATCTGCTTGTTAGAGAAAAACCTGTTAGAATTACAGTTTCAGAAAATAAGTGTCATTGTAGCTCTTAGAGACTTAGACATGACAAAGAGAGGATCTAAGTGCAGATGAATTTGAATAAATAATAATAACGAAGATGAACAAAACACTAGAACCAAGGAACAGAACCAAGTAACCTCACTGTACACGCAAAGTTGCATAACCATAAGTGTTATTCACAAATACATGTGCTATTCAAAAAATTTGAGAATACACATGTGAGCATTCAAAGCTACCAGTGCTACTGGTACTGCCTCCTACCAGTACAAATATTATATGACACTTCACTTATGAGAATGTTTATATTTAGCCTATAAAATGCATAACTTATAACCAAAAACCTTTTGCTATTATTGCTATTGTATGCCATCATGATCAGACATCCATCCTGAACCACATTTGTGCTCTCAGCTCTACAGCTTTCTAAATAGCCAAACCTTACTCATTAAGATGAAATTAATTTTTCATGTACAAACAGTGCTCTATTGAGAAATACACTCTTTACATTTTTTTTGTGTATACCTGTGCTTATCTTACCGTTAATCTAGTGATTTAAATTTACAGTAGTTTCCTCATGCGGCGAGTGTGTCTGTTAATGTTCATGGTGGTGCGGTCAGCAGAACAGCTCAATACATCCAGAGCCTCGTCTTGATGCTCCAGCTCTGTCTCAGCCTCCAGGGCTAGAGTCTTCAGCTGCTGGAGCATCTAAACAAACACAGCATACAAAATAATCATGTGGATAATGAATACTTGGGGTTGGGGTCCTAAATATAGATATAATATGGGCGTTGACTTAATTTTAGCAAAGTTGAACCTTTTTACTAAATATTATGGCACAGTGATTGATGAGTCTAGATGCTGCAGTCTAGATGCTGGTGTTCGGGAGACATCAAGGCGAATAAGTGATGCAGTCACATGTGTATCTAACTACCTCTGAAATGTCTGAATGAAGAGATCACAAATGAGACATTTAAACTGCTGTCCATTTGTGATCATATCACCCAATTTTCACAAACCAAAGGTGTAAATGTGATCAAAGTGACAATAAGCCTAATCTATTTTGGTACTCCTACACATTACTACATATCCTTAAAGGGTTAGTTCACCCAAAAATGAAAATTCTGTCATTAATTACTCACCCTCATGTCGTTCCACAGCCCTAAGACCTTCGTTCATCTTCAGAACACAAATTAAGATATTTTTGATCAAATCCGATGGCTCAGAGAGGCCTTCATTGACAGCAACACCACCCAAACTTTCAAGATCCATAAAGGTACTAAAGACGTCGTTAAAACAGTCGACGTGACTACAGTGGTTCTACAATAATTTTATGAAGCGACGAGAATACTTTCTGAGTGCAAAAACAAAGCAAAGATAACGACTTTATTCAACAACCTCTTCTCTTCTGTGTCATTCTCATACGTTGTTTACGTCAGAACGCCGGCTCATTATTGGCCAAAGCTGCACATGTGAGCAGCGCGACGCATGCGTGTGAAGCTGATACAGGAGCCGTCCAATAATGAGCCGGCGTTCGGACGTAGAACACGGAAGCCTTCACTGTGCTTACTGCGTTAACCGCGAAAGGATAATGACAGGGAAAAGAAGAGATTGCTGAATAAAGTTATTATTTTTGTTTTGTTTTTGCGCACAAAAAGTATACTCGTCGCTTCATAAAATTATTGTAGAACCACTGTAGTCACGTCGACTGTTTTAACGACATCTTTAGTACCTTTATAGATCTTGAAAGTTTGGGTGGCGTTGCTGTCAATGAAGGCCTCTCTGAGCCATCGGATTTGATCAAAAATATCTTAATTTGTGTTCTGAAGATGAACGAAGGTCTTAGGGCTGTGGAACGACATGAGGGTGAGTAATTAATGACAGAATTTTTATTTTTGGGTGAACTATCCCTTTAAATCTAATACGATTAAATCAACTGTAAAAATCCATCTACAATTTGGCTAGCTAACACCAAAGGAACAAGACAAATCTTTTAAAATATAAATAGTGTATTCTTGATTATTCAGACTCATTTAAAGGTGTCACAAAACTTTTTTTTCTTTTCATAAGGTTAAAAATTTCAGTGATGGAGGATATGGGGTAAATGCAAAAGAATACAATATCTATCTTTATACAACAGGAAGGCACTATTAATATATCATCATGAATAATAGGTCTGTGTGCATAGAATAATAATAAAAAAATAAATATAAAAAAGTTACAATAAAAAGTTAAAATGCTATGTTGCTAACATAAAATAAATGTCTCTTGATATGGCCACAGTAAATCTAAACTAAATCTAACTTTTAATATTTTTTATGTTCTCCTTAAATCCTATTGTGGAAAGTGACAGGTTGCAGTCCATATTTTGCATTATTATAAACAGTCTGTGCTGAGTCTATGCATTACAGTCTTCTATATGACAAGCGGCCCTGCCTCATTCCTTTAAAACTTATTTTCCATCTCCTCAGGGCATTTTAACATGTTTGTTTTTAGTGTTTCTCAACCCCAAAACCATCCTGAAAAGTGATATCTGTGATGGTTGACCAACCATCAATTATCTCTGGTCATAGCAATAATATTGGTGTTTTGAAATGGTTCAACATGAAGAGTACCATTCCGCACATCCCCATTATAATGCACTCAAAGAAAAACGGTTGACTGTTTTTGCGTCAATGTTTACGTCTGGTTGCTGTGTAGCATGCAGCACCTTGGCTGGGCACTGAGAGGGTTTTACAGCTGGCACTGTGGCCGTCTGACGATGATGGCACTGAGACCTTATATCTTTGTGCGGCGGGGAATGCCTAGAGTCAACTGCCCACTCCTGTCTCATAAAAAATACAAGCCACAGACACGTCACACTAGTTTAAGTATGTTCACTCAGTTTTTGTGTCGATTTTTTTTTTAAAGGGGTCATATGATGCGATTACTTTTTTTCTTTCTCTTTGGAGTGTTACAAGCTCTTGGTGCATAAAGAAGATCTGTAAAGTTGCAAAGACTAAAGTCTCAAATCCAAAGAGATATTCTTTATAAAAGTTAAGTCAACCACGCCTACCTAAAACGGCTCGTTCTAACACGCCCCCACATGTCTACATCACTATGTGGGAAGATTTGCATAACGCCGACCAAATGTTCACGCAAGGAAAGAAGGAGTAACTTTTATTCTCGCTGTAGTATTGTTGCCGCCGCCATGTCGTGAAGACGTTGTATTTCGTTGTGAAAGCGAAACTACTTTGTTTGGTCTTCCAAAAGAGGATGATATCCGCTTCGTCATGCCTGGAGCTGATCCGTGCTGCTCGCTGAGGAAATACATCAACTTCGCGCTGTGGATCACATGATCGGCTTTCACCATGGACGAAGCGGAGTCCAGCCCGGGGTCGTCACATTTGGTTGCCGCCGGCCACGCCGTTCTAAAGCCCACCGCCTCTGCTCACTCAAGCCTGCCGTGTGTGACACTGTGTTTCATTGTGAAAGGCGGGGCATAGAGGAGAAACAATAATGTACAGTATGTGGAAAATAATGTGTTTTTTTAACCTTAAACCGCATAAACACATTTCATTACATCAAATACACAAAATAATGTTCTTTTTTAGCAGCATCATATGACCCCTTTAAATTCTGATTTGAACAAAAAGGAAAAGGAAAGGAAAGGATGTGACCAAGTATGGCGTCCCATACTTGGAATTTGTGCTCTGCATTTAACCAATCCAAGTGCACACACACAGCAGTGAGTAGAGGTCGACCGATAGTGGATTTTGCCAATACCAATAGCTAGGTTGGACCACACTGGCCGATACCGATTAATTAACCGATTGTTTTAAAATTGATACTTAACAAAAACTAAAATAGTGCTTTATTAACAAAAACAGTACTGAACCATACTAGTAGTAGTAGTAAAAATAATAATAATAGTAATAGTAAATGTTGAAATTAACACCCTCTAACAAGGAACAATACTTACACAGCTTTCATTAAACTTAATGCTACAAATGGACTCTTATTTTAAAGTGTTGCCACTTAATTTCAACTGTCGTGCTTAAAGATGCACATCTTTAAATATATACACAAAGGCTATAGCATTAAAATTATATACACAGCCCTCTACGAACACTTTGGCAATTGAATCGCCATTGGCTAGTACATTGTTTTGTTTACTTGCCAGACTGATATATATATATATAGTGGGTACGGAAAGTAAAAGCGTTCGAATTCCAAAGGAACTCCGTTATTTTGACAGCAAAATACAACAAAGAATATCGTTTACATGTAGCGCGCATAGGTAGCACGTCAATTTTCTTTCTCCTTCTCTCTCTGCGTGTGTGTGAAACAAAGCGACGACGAGTCGTGCACTTCACACTAGAGTTTACGGTACGTTAAATACAGGTGCGCTGCGCATCCATTCAGATGAACTGAAAAACAGCACAGATCGCTTGGCGGAGAGAGAAACTCTGAACGCACGTGCTGTCAGTGATTTCAACCACTAGAGGGTGCTCTCGCACTGTGTAATGAGAGCAGACCCTTCTCAGCCGCTCCAGCAATGGACGCAACCCAGAAAACTATCGGTATGGATTTTTGCCGATAACCTATAGTTCCAGCAATCAGCTATCGGTGCTGATTAATCGGCAAAACCGATACATCGGTCAACCTCTAGCAGTGAGTAGTGAACAAACACACCCGGAACAGTGGGCAGCCCGGGGAGCAGTTGAGTGTTCGGTGCCTTGCTCAAGGGTCTCTCCTCAGTTGTGGTATTGAAGAGTGCTGGTTATTCACTCCCCCCACCTACATTTCCTGCCGGACCTGAGATTTGATCCCGCGACCTTTTGGTTACAAGTCTGACTCTCTATCCATTAGGCCACGACTGCCCCCTAAGCCTGTTAAATGTAACTTGTCCCAACCCGTTAGTACTACAGACATAAATTATTCCTAAAATTGCGCAGGTTGCTGAAAAGTGGTGTACTGGTACAATCAAAATGGCCTGAAAATCAAAATCCCCTAGACTTGGAGGAAACTGAGCCACTGAGGGACCAGAATATCAAAGGATAGGCTCTTCTGGGCCTTTCTGCAACCACTTAGTAATGCTCTAACATCCAGCCCACCTTATGAACACCCAATGAACAGCAGAGTAAATCTCTAGCAGCTGCCTAGCAATAATGGGACGCGCAGCGTTATTTTATGTGTTGACATAATTTCAACTGAAACAGGAAGACATATGGGACATATTGAGCAGCCCCGCCCCTTTCTTAAATAGCCAATATCATTTTGTTTATTTCACAGCTTGGGCCAGAGCTGTTGAGCTCAGTAAAGCAGCTTATTTAGATTCAATATGAAACTGTTACTAAAGCAAAAGTGATTATAATGATGCTGAGGATGTGGCAGTCTGGGGGCCTAATGGTTAGACCAGGGGTGGGCAAACTTGGCCCTTCCAGGTCACTTTCCTTCAGAGGTTAGCTCCAACCCTAATCAAACACACCTGAACCAGCTAATCATTGTCTTCAAGACTACTAGAAGGCTACAGGCAGGTGAGTCATATCAGGGCTGGATCAAATCTCTGCAGGAAAGTGGCCTGGAAGGGCCAAGTTTGCCCATCACTGGGTTAGACAGTTAGACTTGTAACCCAAAAGCCGTGGGTTCGAATCACACAACATTGAGAGCTGGGAGGCGTAAACTTTTGAACAAGATTACCTTAACTGTATATTGACACCTAGATGTGTGGATGCAGCTAAACCCAAAGTTACAGTTATCAAGGCCATTGAAGAAATGTTTAAAGCCTGATTCATCAATTCCATGAACAAAAGTGTCTAATAATAAAGGGTTACCAAGATCGATAGAGCAGTATTTAATTAATCATGTGATCTCAACATTTCTGCCCCCATGAGGCCATATGCTTCTAAAATATGTGTCTACTGTTGAAAACGATGTGCGTTTGTGTAAAATTGAAACCAAAGTTATCTCAAACCTGTTTTAGCTCCTGTGCCTCTGCTTCAGTTACAGTGGGCTGAAGCACATGAAGCTGCAGTTGTGTCAGTTCACCAGCAGGCACCTCCACTGGCACCCCCGTATCCTGTCCATGACCTGAAGCCACACAGAATGAGGTCTTATATTTCCTCGAGATGTGTCGTTAAGTTTAGAAGAAAATGTTAGTAAACTGTAACTAAGCAGCCTACAATGGGAACTCTCAGGTCTTTTAATGACCTGCAGTAGATGTTGGAGCATGACTGCCACCATGTGGTAGAAATACTTTATGACTCTCAGTGTTACATCTATCCACTGTCAAAGATTTAAATGTGAAAATTCACAACCTTAAAATGTCATGGATTAAACTGTGTGTTTAGAGAACGGATTAAGCACATAAGGTGAATCGACAACTAAATTTAGCTGCAGTGTATAAGTGGTCTATAGAATGCAGTTACATGCCCCTAAAATTTAAGAGATTGGTGCATAAAAGCCCCTACATGAGTTTTTGTCTTATATTTATATTATATGATATAGTTAAGCAATATCACAAGAGCAATGAGTGCAATATCACACAAGTGCTATTTTTGTCCCAAATAGCACGAGTGCTAATAATGTGATATTGATTTTATACAACAGTTCAATAAATAAGAACATAATGTTATATTTTAGACACAATATTTGCTCAGTTTTGCCAACGCAAATGTTACCTATTAAAGCAACAGCAGAACTGTTGTGCATCTCCAAGCAACACACAATTTCTGAATCAATCCACATTTGAATTAATTAATTAATTATTAAGGCATTTACTGCCACCTACTGGTGGTTTTAGTTTCTTGTTTAAAGTATCATTTCATTAAAAATAATTTCATATTTGCATATTAATACAAATCTGAAAAAAGTCCAAAAAAAACGAATTAAAGGGATAGTTCAGCCGAAAATGTACAAAAACCCAAAAAAAAGCCACTCTCTACAGCTACTTTTTGTGATGTCTATTTCATGCTTTTCTCGTGTAACACAATAATGTCTTTAAATGCTCTTTAGTAGGTCATTTCTTAGCCAGATTTGATGTGATCAATATGCGATTAATTAGATTAATTCATCACCACAAATTGTAATTAATTAGATAAAAAATTTGAATCAATTGACAGCCCTAATTTACAGTAAAATTTTCAGTATTACTCAGAGGTCTGGTTTCAAGTACAATGTATTTGAAGTGATGGTGTTTTATATAATGGTATCTAGTATAAACGATAAATCCCTTTTGACATCTGTACAGACTTCTGACTGTACACAGTAGAGCCCGACCGATATATAGTTTAGCCGATATTATCGGCCGATATGAGCCTGTCGCCGATATATATCGATATCGGCATTTTTTTGCTCCCAAATATCGGTATCGGCCCCAAAAAACCCATATCAGTCGGGCTCTAGTAAACAGGCCACCGGGGCACCACGTACACCACACAGAATTTTCAGATTTTCTATCTGAGTTAGTGCTGGCTGCAGTTAAAGTCTTAATTGTTGGTTATATTAACATCTATGTAGATAGTGAAAAAGATGCATTGGGATTGACATTTACAGGCATTTACTGGGGATTAAACGCCTGATACGACTAAGACTTTAGACTTAATTTGTAACATATTGAATGATACTTTGCTCTCTTTCCATTCATAACCCATTCATAATTGTTTTTCTTGTTTTTCATCCTGCTACGTACATAGTGCAAAGTTTTGGGAGTGAGTCTGTTTCGAAAGTTTGAAGAATAAATTGATTAGAATTAAAATTGTAATTAACTGTAATATTTGACCAGTTTGATCAATGTATGCTTGACTAATAAAAGTATACATTTTGCGGTGCCTGACATAGGACTATTATTTTAAGTGTCTCAAGTTATGTCCCGTCACAGTGTTATATAATTTACTTTTGTTTCGATTAAAATAAAGGCTGGCATTGAAGTTCTAAAAATGAAACAAGACTGTCAAAACAAGTGTACCTGCACTCCAAATGTTTCCTCCACCTTCTGGGCTTCCTGGTGTGGTTGCCGAAGTTGCCTGAAATGCTGCATAGTCACGCGTGATCACAACTTTCTTCTTATACTGCATCTCCAGTACAGATAAAGCATCAGTCATCCTGGCAGAGAGAATTCGAAAACAGATGTCAGGTTTTCCGATGAAGCGCTGCCGAACACTGATCTCGTAGGGGCTGTGCACATAGACATCATCCACCTCTTCCTTCTCAAAGCAATGGAGAAGCTGTCCGTTTGCATCTCGTACCTCGAGAGAGGAGACCAACACTATCAGGCTACCTGGTTTCAGGTTTCCAGAGCTTCCAACGTGGGAGAGAATAGCTGGAATGCTGGTTATGACTTTTTGGCCTTTGCCTGAAGCTTTAGTACAGGCCGCTTTGGCAGCTGCCTCAGACTTGGCCTCCTGGTGGCTCTTCCGTGGCAGTTTGCCAAAAGGCCACCAAGACGGACACTCAAGTTCAGATAGTAGTCTGCACAAAAGAGAAAAAAAATGGTATAATTAAATGAAGTCATCATTAAGTAAATCAATGGTGTATGGTGACAGTGGGTGTTCTTGACTTCCCAATGAATAAAATTAGCATGTATTAATTTAGCAGACACTTGATTGATTACAAATGAATAATGCAACAAACTAAACTTTGAAATGACTAAATCATGAAAGGCCATAGTATCGAGAAGCTCTGAGATTATTGGACCTGTTTTCCATTGGACATTTGCTATTTTCCTTCATAATGTTATGAAGCAATGACAAACCGTTCCTGTTTAAGTCCATATGTAAAAATATCTGCACAGCTTTCAGCTGGCAGGACTTTTTGAAGAAAAACACATCAGAGCAATGAAACATGGATGAATTAGAACGTATCGAGTGGGACATGCTTGACATTAAAAGTTGAAGTTATTAAAAGCACAATATGCTAAGACACTCATGTCTCTAGTACACGTTATGTATCACAGTTTCTGAATCTGAGCAAAACCTACTTATCTGCCACGCTCAGGTCTGATTCGATATTGTCCAGGCCCTGAATCATGTTGTCAAACTGCTCTCCCTGGTGGTCCAGGACTTTTCCAGTATCCTCCAGCCTCCGCTGGGCTCCAGATATCAGGCTGATCAGCTCCTGGCCCTTAGTGAGAGGAGCCTCAGCTCCACGGGGCTCTGTAGGTGACAGCAGCCGTTCCCTCCAGAAGTGCTCTAGCACGTGGTAAACGGCAGTACGACAAGGCTTGAGAGACCCAAACCAGTGCTTGATGTTTCCCTGCTCCAACACAGTAAGAGCACTAAAAATGAAGCCGGAGGTCTCCATCTTGATCTCCATGATATGTGAGAGCCTCAGGCCAATCAGATTCTCCTGATTCTGCTCAGAGTCGAAGCGTAGGGTGGTGCGGGATAAGGAGAGAATGCCGCTGACCCAGCGTTTCTCACTGTTGATGTAATAAGAGCCGGGCCAGCTATGGATGGATGACTCCTGGCTCATCTTTTTGTGATGATTTGGCACAGCTGCCTTGACTTAGGGAGCCCACCTGCCAAGTGAGTGGTGTAAACAGAAAATTAGCAAGCAGTCATTTTCTCAACCTCAAGTTGCTACAAACCTGGACAACTGTCTTTCTTAAGAGGAACACAAAAACAGAAGGCACAGAAAAATTCTAAGGGAGCCAGTGGATTTAAGATTATGTTGATTTGTATATTAGTATAATAAATATAAACACACACACACACACACACACACACACACAATCTAGATCAAACTTGAAATCATGCTTCATTTTTTTTTTCGTTTTTATTGAAGATGCATGCAGTTCATGAATCTTCCGGAATCACAATCTATGGTTGATTAATCCAATTTCTGATTTAAATCATTATTTAAAGGCCTTTTACATGTATTTTTCACGTGGTTCTGTATGCGCAGTAACAATAGATGCTGGTGTGGATGACATTAGATGAAAACAAACACCACGGAGATCATTTAATGTCATACCTTTCTTTTAGGATGATGTTGACTTTCAAGTGACAGCTACAGCAGGGTGTGACGGATTTCACGCATTAAAATAATAATTTCGCATCGTAGTCAGTTGAGAGACGTTTACTCTTCCCCCTCAGTGTTTCCCGTTAAAGTTTAATGCATAAGAAAGTAAAAACAGCAGACTCTGTTTCCCCGCCGCGATGTAAACAAGACTGAACCCAAAGACTGAACGCTGCGGTGATTGTTTTAGTGCGCTCATGTTTACACTCCGATGTGCAACAATAACTTATTAAAGGTTCCGCTGATGTGGCGGTGGCACATTATATATGTCTAGTTAAGGACACCGACTTTTATTTATTTACAGGCGATTTATTGAGATTTAATTAACTTGCTTTATTGTGTTAATGTGCTCATTCCGCACGAAGATGAGCAAATCATTGAGTTGGTGTGCACACGTTTCTTTTCCGGTGGGCAACTGGGTTACGTAGACATGTTCCAAACCCTGTGCAAAAACACAATTATTTTCGATTTATAAACATATAGAAAAACGATAATCGCCTCATATAGATATTTTAATAACACGTAAACGTGACGTTGAACCGTCGATACATTAGTTGCGCTGCTACAGCTTTAAAATAACTACGCAAACCTGTCATCATAAGAGAATAATGAGGCTGTTAAAGGGGTCATATGATGCGATTTCAAGATTTCCTTTCTCTTTGGAGTGTTACAAGCTGATTGTGCATTGATAAGATCCCTGAAGTTGCAACGCCTAAAGTCTCAAAACCAAAGAGATATTCTTTATCAAAGTTAAGACTCTGCCACGCCCCCCTAAAACGGCTCTTACACCAAATACACAAAATAATGATCTTTAAAAAAGCATCATATGACCCCTTTAAAATGTGTTGTAGCTGTTCACTATATGTTACTATTAAGTCAACAATATTAAGTTTTAATTAAGGTTTTGTTTTTAATATTTTGACATATCATGCATGGAATAACGTGCGGAAACTTCATGTTAGTGAATAATAAACAAGTCTGCTCCATTCTGACATGCCATGGATAGGGAAACCTTTCATAACTGCTGCAGTTTGGTCAAAATGCCCAGGCAGATCCATCAACAGCACTGCTCCTCTCATTTCATTGAGTACATAGAGAGAGAAATGCCCTACCCCAAATTCTGCAAGAACTACTTGATCCCGAATCAACCCTGCATGCTTTCCAAAAAATTCACAGAAGACTGGAATTGCAGAAAAAACTGGGTCACGGCATACACGGCTGATGGAAAACCTAACTTCCAAAGACTTCTGCATGAATTTGGTGAGCAAAGAATTATATTATATATAGCACTTATTTTCAGTGCTGCAATAGCAATTGAGATCCAAAAAACTAATAACCAAAAACAATCTTTGGCAGTTTTTTTTTGGCTGTGTATCTCAACTAGATAAAGAAACAGTGAATTTTCCTTGGACGATTCAGATGACTTTCAATTTCAAGTAAACCTCAAGTCTTAAATTTCATAGGTTGTCTTGCATTTTCAAAATTTGCATGCACATTTGTGACCAAAAATGAAAATATGACGTTCTCGTTCTGACATTTTTATGAAAGTCTGTAGTATCAAACTCTTTTGGTACTGGAGAAAACTAGAACAATTTCTCCAACCCGTAGTTCCCATGAGTTCCCTATGAGAAAAACCTTCCTTCACCAACTTGCTAACTCACTTTCGGTAATGCATCTCTTAATAATAGGAGGACACCATTTCTATCAATCATAACTGGCTGAATGGCTGTAATTTGGATATCATGTGGCAGTTTCTGCAAGAACAACTTTCTTCTGTCTAGAGAGAAATTGAGGAATGGCGTGATACTGTGGATACCTGGCATCAGCATTGTCAGGTAACTCTATTTTTGGCTTTATTTTTGACATCAAGCATCACCGTTTCCAGGTCCAACTAATGCACCAACAAATTGTGTTAATAAACACTCGCAATGTGCTGTAGTACTACCCTGTAAACATAACTTTTATATTTCTGTGACATATAAATATATTTATTTATATTCTATTTCAGGTGATCATGAAATCACGTACAGGAATCGATTATGGGGAGTTTGCCTCTTTCCTTAAGACTGTTGCAAGTAATTGAATGTCCTTTTTGAATTCATGTCCCAGAAATGCAGATAATTGCCAAGACCTCCTTGCCAAAAGTCTGTTTGCTTTAGGCCCTCAGCATCTGGCCTTTGACCTTCAGAGAGTATTGCATATATTTGAGAACATGCTTAGCAATGAAGACTTTAAGAGACTAGACCCTTCAGCTCTGAGCTTCAAACCTGAGGAACTGCTTCAGGAGATCAGAGAGGCTGTTCGAACTATTGTATAAAATCTGATCTGATCATCTGATTACGTAACTCACATTACTTGTAATGCATTACCCCTCAACACTGATGACAACCATTAGTTTATCATGAGCACGTAAACTTGGACTTCTCTATTAAAGTTGTAGCACTGGAAGTAGTGTGTCAACATCAAAGATGATAAAACAACTTTTCAGTAGATGGTTTCTTATTCATGTTTTAAATTTCAGTAGTGTATTTCAATAATATTAAAGTGTGAAATATGACAGAGCTCATAATTAACTAATGTAACGCTAATGTCTCACCCTTCTTGGTTTGCTTTAAGCAAATTTAATATAATTGATGGGTACCACGGGAAATTTGGCACCCATCTATTTTAAACAAAACCAAGGTACTTTAGTACTTTAAACAGCTTTTTTAATAAAAACAGTTTAGTATATCCATGAAGTGATTTGCATTATAAGATTAACAACAATGAAACATTTTTTAAACATTTTATTTCAAGGTGTCAACTAATACATTATCAACAGACTTCTGTGTAAAAGTTATAGTTTAAAATTTTGAAGTTAGCTAAATAAATATAATCTGCATTACAATTACAGCATTCAGGTGGGCCTTTGAGCTTTCTAGTGTTGCCAATTCATTTATCTTTACTGTTTTTTGGCCACCAGTCAGGTACAGTAGCCTGTAAAGTCACTGTCACGCCGTCAGAGGATTTAAGTTTTAGTGGCTCTCTGGCATGAGCCAAGCGTACGAGGCTCAGTCCCAGCTTGTCGATTCCTGCCCTGTGTTTCCCTGCTGGTTTGCCCCCCTCAGTCTCAAGAGCGGCACCTTGGTCCAGGGTCTCAGCCGGAGCAGACATGGTAACAGGCATTACACGCTTCCTTATCACACCAGTGTGGTGAGTTCTGGCAGTCAGTTCCTGTCCGATGTAGCATCCCTTGCTGAAGCTAATTCCCTGCATGTAGACAAGATTAGACTCCAGTGGAAGGGCCTCACCTGGCGGAAGGTCTTTCACTCCTTCAGGTAGTCCTAGAGAATTTAAATAAAGTACAGGATTGATTATAAGAAATGATGAGATATCACAAAGGACGTGCTGACTCTTCAATACCATTTTAGTACTTTTACATTTTAAGCATTTAAAAGGACAAAATACTATTATTATTACCAAACAATATCCACATACACTTTGATTATGGCTATTGCTTAAAGGGTCATGAAACTCCAGACTACTTTTTCTGAGACTTTAGCAGAGGTGTTTGTGTTGCACATCATAGAAGACAATGTTAGCATCCAATAATTTTAACTGTTGGAGAAAAGTGGTTCATTTTAAGCTTTTTTGCGCTATTTTCATCTTCCGGGTTTAAAATCTACACACAATTTGTGACGTGGCAATGGACTATAGTACATCGATGATGCGTCGATGTCTATTCAATTATTCATGAGACTGCGTGTTCTTATCCTATGAGAAGATGCTTCGCTTAATTATTCACAACAGCATGTGTTGATTTGCTAGACGTTTCAGACTGTGAGATGACATCGCGCACATTAACTGAGAGAAACGTTCATGGATCGAAAAAGAGTGTTTGTTTTTGCTTTGTAATAAGAGTTCGGCACAAACGCGATTCATTCACTTGGTGAGCATAACTGTTTTTACAGCTCTGTGACACAACCGGTCAAAAGGCTTGTATAAACGCCGCAGAATAAGCCTTAAAAGTTCTCAGAAGTGCAACAGGGCGTTCATATACATTTTTTCGATGCAGAGTGCAAATGTCTGTGCATTTATTTGTGTTTTTAACTCGACGGGAGCTAAATGAAACTGTCTGAACATGAAGCTGTAATTGTTGTCTTGTCGGTCTCCCCTATTTGATTTTCCTTTCTCTTTGGAGTGTTACAAGCTCTTGGTGCGTAAAGACGATCTGTAAAGTTGCAAAGACTAAAGTCTCAAATCCAAAGAGATATTCTTTATAAAAGTTAAGAGTTAGCCACGCCTACCTAAAACAGTTCGGTCTAACACGCCCCCACATATCTACATCACTATGTGGGAGGATTTGCATAACGCCGCCCAAATGTTCACACAAAGAAAGAAGGCGTAACTTTTATTCTAGCTGTAGTATTGTTGCTGCCGCCATGTCGTGAAGGCGCTGTGTGTTTGTGCTCTGTGTGTTTCGTTGTGAAAGCGAAACTACTTTGTTTGGTCTTCCAAAAGAGGACGATAGCCGCTTCTTCATGCCTAGAGCTGATCCGTGCTGGTCGCTGAGGAAATACATCAACTTTGCGCTTAGCTGGTCGCCGCTAACTCTAGCCCCCCTACTTTGTTTGGCCTTCCAAAAGAGGACACGACTAGAAATCATTGGTTAAGTTGTATTTACAACACTGTTCCAGAACAGTTCAATCCAAATATTCAGATGTGTGCAGCACATTTTATGGAGGACTGTTTCCTGATCCTGGGAGAGTAGACTACAATGCCGGCTGTTCTGACTCACAGACTGTAAGTACGTTTTTTATATATAAAGAATTTGCCACTGACGATTCAAACGCGATTTTTGAGCAGTGTAGAGTAGCGCTTGTTGTTTGTCATTTCTCCGATCACAAATGCAGATATGGTTTTATGTTTAAGCAGCGCGATGCAATGCAACACGTAAAAAGACAGATATAAGTCATCCATCACACGCTTGAGGTATTCGGCCAATCACAATGCACTGGATAGCTGGCCAATCAGAGGACACCTCGCTTTTCAGAACGATGAGCTTTGTAAAAATCGAAGCGTTTCAGAAAGGCGGGGCATAGAGGAGAAACAATAATGTACAGTATGTGGAAAATAATGTGTTTTTTGACCCTTAAACCGCATAAACACATTTCATTACACCAAATACATAAAATAATGTTCTTTTTAGCAACATCAT